GGTGACATTCAAAGGTGATTTTGCTTGTCGAAGTAAGCTCGTATCAACAACATCCAGTTCGTTTGCAGCTTGATACGGGCTCCGACATCATGCTGCTCAGTGAACAAACGTGTGAACAAATTGACACGCCGCATGTGAAACCAACCGAACATTGAACCCATAATGTTTCTGGAGGTAAACCGAAGTTGACTGGCGAAATTGACTGCTCCATAAGCTTCAATGGTTCGGCGGCACAAGCCACGTGCTACCTGACCTCATGCAGTAAACTTGACCTCATGGGGCTCGATTGGATCGAAAAGCTGAATTTGCAGGGAAAGTCGATCAGTTCTATTTGCAACTCCACTCATGCAGCGCACGGAGGTGCCCTTCCCGGTACCCACTTCCCGAAGCGTTCAGTTGAGGACTGCCTACAACGCTATGCACCTGTATTCACCAGCGAGCCTGGACGGTGCACAAAAGCAAGAGCCAGACTATGCCTCCATTCCAGTGCCGAACCAGTTTTCAGGACAGAACGCCCACTGCCATATGCAGCCTTTCCATCGTTGACGTGGAACTGGACCGACCACAGAAGGCCGGTGTTCTCCAACCGACCAACTACTTTGCATAAGCCGCAACGATCGTGTTGGTGATGAAGGTTAAAGGAATCATCCGGTTGTGTGCAGATTTCTCCACCGGCCTGAATGCTGAGCTGGATATGCTTCAAAACCCTCTGCCTTTTGCAAATGATTTGTTCGCGAAGCTGAAAATTGACTTGGCCGATGCCCACCTCCATATTCAAGTTGGGGAGTAATCCCGAGTACTTCTCACAATTAATACGCACCGCGGTTCACTCCCGTATACCCGACTGACATTTGCTATCAAAACAGTGCTACCCATATTTCAACAGATCATGGATACGATGTTGAAGGATGCCCAGGCGTTGCTGCCTATATGGATGACCTCATCGTCCTAGGTACAAGCCCCATGAATTGTGGTAACGCCTTGATTACGTGCTTGGTCGTATTCAAGAATATGACTTCAGGTTGTGCGCGAGGAGAATGCACCTTCTTTATACAGTCGATAAAGTTACATCATTGACCAACATGGCTACCGACCAGACTGAGAGAACTTCAACGTTATCCAACGTATTACAGCACGCACAGACGTGGTGTACCTCAGGTCTTTCCTCGGTCTCATTGGTCACTACGGTTTGGTTCTGCATGCCATGCATTGCCTCCGAGGCCCACTAAACTAGGTATTTAAGAAATACCGCAAGTAAATATGATCAGAAGAATGCCAATGCGCCTTTGACTCTGTCAGATCCATGCTTACTACCGATTTGCTGCACACACAACGATCCATTACTGAAAATCGGTGTAAAGTTGGATGCTTCGAACAGTGATTTGACATATATTTCCCGACGGGAGCCAGAAAGCCACTGCACATGTGTCCAGATCCCTGACATCAGCCGAGATCAACTACAATCAGATACAAAAGGAGACTTTACCGATCATGTTTGCCATCGGACAGTTTTATAAATTGCTCTATGGCTGTAAATTCACCATACTGACCGGCCACAAGCAACCGTTTACTGTGTTTGGCCCGACGAAAGGAGTCCTGGCATACACAGCCAATCGTTTCCAGCGGTGGGCCACTCTGATTCTGGGGTATGACTTCAAGTTCAAGTATCAGTCCACCGCCAGCCTCGAACAAGCCGACGCATTGTCACGACTCATTGGTTCAAGTAGGCCAGGACCAGAAGTTACGGTAGTCGCAGCAATTGCCTTGGAACCGGAGGTTAACCGCGTAGTATCTGAAGGGGTGACTTCCGACATGGTCCGCCAGGCTACCGACCAAGACCCTTTGTTGCAGCAGGTTATTAATTACCACCGCAATCAGTGAACGCGTATCTGCACATAAGACGAACTGAGGACTTACTTCAACCGACGTGACGCACTTTCACTAACCGATGGATGTGTTTTGCTTTTAGAACGCGTTGTCTTCCCAGAGAAATTATAACGAGCCGTCCTGAATCGTTTTCATAAAATGCACCTGGGAACAAACAGGATGGAGGCCATTGCTTGAAGTTACGTCTGCTGGCCATTGATGGACTCCAAGATAGAGCAAGTTTCAAAACCCTCTTTTAAATCGTAGTGGCCCCGGTCTTAACTTTATACGAAAAATCGAATGGCGTCATAAACTCTGCTTAAGTTAGTACTAAAGGCAGAGGTTTGCATTCGTGGAGCATAGTGCACGTTGCTGCGAAGCCAGATCTACAATTTGATTCCTTTTGTTTTTTACAGACTTTTGCGTGGTGCGCATACTGTTTGTCCTTGTTCGACTACGGACTCAAAGTAGCAAAACGACCCAAACAATGCAGTTATTCCGTTGCGCAACCTAAGCAGAAGAGAACTCCGTGGTTCAATGGATCCAAAATACTCAGTTCATTGCCTTCATTGTTCGTTTGTGAACTGGAGAACTCCATTAGTGGTGAAGCCAAATGTCACAAAGGGGACGAAGGCGTTCAATCATCCGACTCCCGTGCGTAGATTACAGGCTTGTGTGAAATCAAAACAAATAACTCTTTATCAGCCACAAGACTGAGCAGTTGAGCACATCTAGCGCAAACGGCTTAAAATCTAGTCTTCTTTCATAGGTGAAAGAACAGAAGAAACTGTATACGCCATATAATAGAACAATAGTGAAAATGGAGGATTATGCTCTAGGAAATTTTGCTAGACTTACGTCTAGTGTGCTGTCTAGCCAATTCGGATTATGCAGACTAGATAGTTAAAAAGAACTGCATACTAAATGGCCTGAAAGAACACCCTTTTAGAAATTTGCGGTACAATGAACGATGGTGGAATCGGAGCGATTGGCGCGGTAACTTGGACAGAGCAATCAGTAAACGTTTGCTTCAATCCTAATAGTCTCAATTATAAGCAGCCACACTGTCTTATTAGCCGCTTGTTGAACATAAGGCACAGTTATCTTGAAAGATCTTTTGCACCCGAGCGGTCAGATGAGGTATAGCATTTATTCGCAAACCGTGCTGAATGCGGTCGACAGTTTCTTCTGCCAAACTAGGTCGTATCGCCCGAGTGCGCTGGGAGCCCACGTATAAAAACGTGCAATTCACTTAATAGGCTTGAGAGAGTGGTGGATAGCACCAGTCGGTTGTGCGTACACACAAAATGACTACAGGGGGAATATTGGCATCTAGGATGCGGTAGATTCGACAGCAGAAAGTCTGACACGTTCTAATATCGACAGTTGCACCGATTCCGGTATATGGATTACCACGGAAGAGGATAAAAGAGTTGAAAATTAGACATATATAAAATGACGGTACTGAGCCCACGGGGTTCAGTTTCGCTGCCGAAGAAGATAGAGCTTATACAGATCTCTTTCATTCTTCGGTTGTTAAATCTTTAACACTCAGCGTACGGTTTTGCCATTTAATTTGACCTTACACCCTATCTATCGGTTCTGATACACCGTACGACTAATCTAGTTAGCAGTGGCAGACGCACGGTAACCTGATATGGAACAGTCCATCCAAAGACACGGTGTTGTCAATCAGTGGGAAATGCTTGCAAACGATCGAGAAGTTTGAAAAAGAATCGGGAACAATTCTACCGACCGTTTTTCAAACTTCCCTGGACAGGATGGACTCCTTTTGATACTCTCCAAGAAAGTCGAATTGAAAGTGATGCAAACTTTCTGTGAATATTCCAACTAGCTTACGTCACGAACGAACGCCAAATTCACCATCATATGCATAACAGTATTTCAACAACTTATGAGCATGTTTTGGCCAACATTGCGGAGCGTACACACAATAAATTCAGAGCGGACTAACCAGATCGCTGAACCGAATTCTCATCACCTTCACCAAAATAATCTATCGCAGGGTGAGTCAGCTAATTCAAAATGCACAGTGCGCTGATACCCAACAGGTGCCTGCTACCATATCGCAGTCTACGTCACCAGCTTCCATACATGTCCATGATACCCGAAATCACATTAACATATCTACCGCAGAATATACAGTTTTTGATCCAGTGACACCAATTTTTCTTTTCTGTCGATATTTATATCAAACCATTTACTACATTTGCACACTCCAACGGTACCCCGGTTCTGGCATTATTAAGGGAACTCCCAACTCGGGTTTTAGTTTGTCCTGTCTTTGCATCCTAACGGAAGTGCTCCCAGGGTCAGTAGGTATTCTGAAGCTAGGTTCATTCATTCATTCATTCACAACACCACTTTTTCGAGCAAGTGCAAAGTTCCTACAAGCGCAAGAAAAAAGGTGGTTTCCTGAAAAGTGAAATCCCGGATTACAATAAGCTTTTGTTATAGGGTGAAGGGGTAAATTCAAGAGGATTGCCATCTGGTAATGGTACACTCCTCAATTAGAAGCCCTCCATTTATTGATGGGGAGTTACTGTGACTATTAATGCGACATGTCTATTCCTACGAAAAGTAAAAAAATCTTAGCAAACAATTCGAGTAATCCAAAATTTTAATGGCACTAAGTATTTTGCTTCTGAGATCAAACTTACGAAAGGAATTCACCGAACAGGCCGAAAATGCTTAAATAACTCCACATTCGCACTGCACTCCATAAGCCGTCGTATCTGAGACGTAGGGAGGTAAGATGGAGCGCTAAGCACTTGCTGCATACAGTCCATTACCGGGCGTGGTCACTTTAAGTATATTAAATACCCTGATCTCAATAAGGAGACAAACCCTTGTTGAATACTTACTGGGTATTTGAATGAAAGCGCGCATTCATTTCCATTTCACCATAGAATTGAGTAACAATTCAATGATGAAGCAGGATTTTTTACTAGATCAGATAGACCGATAAAAACCTGTTAGAATTCCAATGACTTAGTACGGATTTTCTTTCATGCGATGCTATGGGTTCAAAAAATAACAGTTGCAGTTTGCTCTTTAGGTGTTGTTGGTAAAAAGCGAGCGCATTATTCGGAAATTTAAAAGAAGTTGTATTGTCTCCCCTAAGAACGACCGATTTTTACGTGGAATCGAGAGTAAGAAGGGCAAAAAAATAAACCGCTATTAGATATAACCTTCTTTAATAGATCTAAAACAGGAATGAACACTGAAGATAGAAAAATACGTTGAAAAAGAGGCGGGAAAAGAAAGGTTGAATAAGCGACACACAGCATGGGGATCTTAGTGTATCTCTTTACAGGCAAGTGCGGCAGAAAACTGTTGAATGATTTTTTAGGCACGCAGGATGATGGGATTCACCGAATTTCTGCGCAAAGCCGATGAGTCCTAAGTGAGTCGGTTTGATTTGAATTTTACGCAAGGCATCTAGAAATGTTTTCCATAGATGTCTGTTGGGCCAGCATTCCTTCCATTGAAGATATATTCCGCTGACAGATGTAAGCAAGCATAATACGAGAGCACTCGGAAGTGGGATCAACGAACGGAAAGAGGTAGGGCGACAAACGAAAAAAATCTGTTTGGGGCGTAAATAGGGAGCTGAATGGTTGACTCTCGAAATAATAGGGGAGTAAGACAAAAGGGAATCACGTGTTATATAAGAATAGAAATATGTTGTGGCCTAAATGGTGTATACACGAATTAGGTATCAATCGTCCAGTTCATCGCTATCGGCGACATTCCGACTGGCTCTGCCGTGTCCATGAGCTCAGCAAGATCCGTAGAGTCCAAGGAGGTAAACAAAGCGTCTGCTAGTTCCACCGGGGGTACATTGGCCTGAGAAATTAGCGAGGAGCCGGGAAATACGGACTTGTCGGGACGGTGTCCTGATGTGTGCGTGACTGCGGTACACGAAGAGGTTGAGGGACTGGATATTTTTGAGTTGAAAGGAGAAGACCACAGCGTTGAAGTTGGCAGCATCACTGCATTGACATTGCAAACCGTCGGAAGAGTTGACGTCATGAAGCTGGAACCTAACGTAGAAAAATCCAATCTCTCCGAGAAAGTTAATGAAGATGTACCACTGTGGGGATGATCTTCACACTGCATGATGTGGGGTGCTTGTGCATGAGCAGAGTTATTAGATGGAGAAGGGTCCGAAGCCTGTGATCGTCAAAAACAGTAAACATTACGTATGAAAACGGTTTTTACTGCGTAGCTATTCTAAGTCTAGGTACATGTAACAAAAAGCTGTAGATATTGCAAGGATTTGATTCTAGGTGCTATGCATTGTGAGAGCACGGATTATGTATTAATAAGGATGAGGACCAATAATAGGAAACCAGCAGCTGTCCAGGTGATCAAAATCCAAAAGTTGGTGTGCTCTGACCAGTCTCTCTATTCTTTCATGACCGCATACAACGCCATAAATAGTGAAACGGCGTGCGCTTTCCTTGTTCGCATGACTATCTGGCGTTTGATGATTTAATTTGAAGCCCCAGATAGGGCGCGTTCGAGATAAACTACAGCAGATTCAAAAGATACGACTGTCATTTTCTACACACTCTGCCTGAATGAATATTCAAGCATGCGGAAACATGGGTGGCTGGGTGTGTAGGCTTGGGCTAAATAAATTGGCAAGTCGTAAGGCAATTAAGCACGCATGTTACCACAATGATGTTGCTATCAGAGAGCTTGCAGACGATGGAGGAAAAATCCAACCTTGGTGATGAACTTTGTACTTGTTTATCCGTTTGGCGTTGGAAAGCATAGTAATTCATGAACTACCCTGTTGAGATCCAACTTCTGAAAGGCAAAGTTATTTTCACTCTTAACAATATGACATAAGGAGTTCAACACACACACACACCAGCACACGTAATTCCTGATGTAAAAAAGAATACAACAGTTGCGATAACAGGAAAAAATATCATATGCTGTTACGTCAGTGAGTACTCAGAGTGACACAAAGGAGACGAAAATCTGCAGACCTGAGGTGGCATTGGTTTTGTGGGCGACTTCTAAACCCAAAACGTTAGTGCTGAGACGAAAACTTGAGGTTATTCGACAGTGCACGAACCACGGTGCGTACAAAATCAAACACAGCCGGCAATGAGATCCAAGCCGGAATTACAATAGCTGCTGCAGAAGGGCGATGCAGCTCACTCGAGCAACCACTTACCGGATCTGATCAACAACTTAATTAGAGCAGTTTGAAGTTCGAAATCTAGGACAACCTAACCTCACTTGGGAAGGGAACCATAGATGTAAACTCTAAAGTCAAGCGTCTATGATCCACAAGTGTGAAGCAAGAAGTGAAAGGACACGGATACCGGCGACAGTAAGGCACAATAGCTATGGTCACAAATGTCATAATGGAAGCGTTTGCAAGTACGGTTGCTTTTCACATGCAATCCGGTGAGCAAGAACGCCGTGGATAAGAACTTATCTAACACTATTAAGTTTCAAAGACGATGATGACGGTTCACCACAGTAGCCACATGTGCTAAATACCACAGATAAAGATGATTACTGTGTAAATGCGAAAATGTACTACACAGGAACACTGGACGGCCATTCACAAAGTACGAAGTCTGGAAGAGTAACAGCCGGTATTGTTATCGTTGCTGTAAAAAACGCTGTAGAGGATGAAACGGGATACACTTGATGGAATAAAGAGACCGCAAAAACAGTGCTATGACTGATCAAAATACGATGTCAATACATACAACGAAAAGCCTTATATAAAGCCAACAGTCCCAAACTTCGCCGTGTTCGGCGTTTCACGAGTCCAACTGCATTATTTACTCGCAAAGTGGGAGTAAGGCGCGTGACAAGCAGGATGGAAAATGAGGAGACCCCAAACTGATCCCGAGCTTCGTCAAATATAAGGACTAACCAGTTCTGGAATGCACATGGAAGATTCTGCGCAGAAAGTATCTGGTTTATGCGATAGTAACGTCCGAACTTCGGGCAGGTTATCCACTGTAGTCCCTGAAAAACGATAAAGCCGATTGAACATGCAATATTAACATCTCACAAAAATTATACTCATTTGCTCGGCAAAGTGACGGAGCGATTAATGCCCAAAATAACTAAGGAAAAGCGGGAAGTTTGACTGCGTCAGAATGGAATTGAAGTTTGTGAAAACCTAAGACTGCGCTAGAAAGCAAAAAGAAGACTAGGGAGTGATCATATGCTGGCAGTGTGAAGAGCAGTTCGGTTGTATCAACCTATGCCTGGCTAGATGTGCAACACTATTCGGCTCAGACCGATATCAACGGCATCGTACTGTGCGTTTCCTCTAACTGATCGTCAAAGATATAGGCACCTAACAAAGATGCTCCCCTTCATGGAAGAGTCCCCCTCGAAGACATGGACATGGTGACAGCCCGCTGATGCTGACCAAAAATGTTGCTGAAAAGCGCTATGTTGTCGCTTAATCATTGTTGGGAAATACCAGCATTCAAAGGTGTGTTGTTGTCGGTGACAAAGACCATGGTGGGGAGATTTAAACCTGAAACTTTCTGGTTACTGGCATGAGTGGCTCATTGAGCAGGTAATTGATCTGAGCCTACACAGAATTTGGGCAAGTGTTTTTTAACCGCGCAATTCAGGCCACGTGAATAGGTGAGGATTGGCTTCAGAAGCCACGAATTTTCAAAAAGAACAAGAGCAGGGTTCAATTCAAGCAAATTACGAAGCACAAGAAAGTTAGTGACTGCAGCTACAAATACTGAAGATCATGTGACCCCGGTCTTATGTGACAACAGGGAAGTCTATGCACGCAACTGACAAATGGCTTACTAATGACAGCTTTTTCGTAACACGCAGAGAAAGGGTACTAGAATTTGCTAGTGCTCTGATTCTAGATTCAGATCTCATGAAATGGAGGGTCATATCGAACTCTTCTCGCGAGAACTGGATTTAAAATTTAAATATCGTGTGCGAGTGTTCAGTTGCATGTGGCGGTATCTGAACAGGGCGACCACAGGCAAACAGGCATGTTTGAGTGCCTCAAGGAATAGGTACCTTAGGATGACTGTGGTACACTATCGTCGGGCAACTCCCCGTCTGATTTTTATTCCCTCTATTTCAGTACTCCACAATTATCTTTACAAGCTCATAGCAGAAGATCGTCAGTCTTGATACTCATTAAGTCTAAGGTGGTTATTGGAAAGATGACGGTATTCGTTAACTCATGCAGAACAAATTAAAGGCATGTTTCCCGGAAGCTACCGAACTTTAAACGATACAAAACATTTTAATCCTGCTATCTATAGTGCGCTTCTCTATCCGAAAACGAATTAAATGAAAGAAGGGTGTGGAGATTTGTGGGTTTTATTGACGCTGAAGCGCATTCTTCAGCCGAAACTACGACAGCATTGCACAGACGAAAAGTGATCGCTTTATATCATTTTACATATGAAAAATGAATACGACAACCACAGAGAAACGAGCGCTAAGAAGTTCAAGCGTAATCCAGTGGTTACTATCAAGCATCTCTTAGAATACTGGCACAACCTCTCACCTGAACGCACGAACTCACGCGCTTGAACATAAGTGCATTTCACTATGAAATGGTACCCAAATTACAAGAAATCAGTATCACTTTTGTTAATTTTTTGGGCTACAAACCCTGCATCGGAGTTAGATGGTTCCAGCTGCTACGACATCGTTCATTGAGGATAAGGAGAAGCAGGGAATGAGAGCAACGCGTTGGAGGCGATAGCGTATGAAGTACAGGGTCCGAACGGCGTAACTTGAGGAGTGTGACCAGCTGATTCATCGAGGGAGAGTGAACCTTCCCGAAAACCATCAGACGTATAGGCAATGCTTCCAAAACATCTATTTTCAAACAGAGAGGCTCAGGAGATCCTCCTCACACAGCAGCTGTCTGATCCGTAAAGTAGGACAAACGAGACTGCGGTACTGCGCGATTTATCCAAGGTCATTGTCGCGATAGTGGTGTCTTCTGGTACTTATCTGCTTGAATCAATGAGGCGCGGCAGTGCGCCAATCTGTCCCAAGCTGCTGATGAACCAGTACGTAAGACTGGGTTCATAGAGTTGTAGGATGTCATCATTAATCAATAATCAAATCAACTTGTCGATGCAATCCAAACCCACGAGATCGAGCTCCGGGCATGACGTCAAGTAGCATGTGTCTTGGACCGTCGGCAAACCCAAATAACTCTGAATGTCGTGGTCACCGAGATGAAGCGCGGTGGTGGTGGTGAGGTGCAGGCCGCAGCTTCTGAGATTAACACAAACCTTCCTCATGGACTACCTGTTACATTTATGATATTTATACAACGAAATACCATGCTGTGCGGACAGATATTACTTCCCGATTACCCAGATAGAACGGAGCTCGGTTGGAGTACCTCAACTCGAGCCTATGACTCGAATATGTGACCCGCAAAGCAGTAACAGGAGTAAAGCTTTCGTTCCGAAGCCCTCCCTGTAACTAGGCCCAGGAAAGCAAGTGTGCCGGCCGTCTTATACAACCACATTTCGACGCGCGGCGCTTGTCCGACTCGAGAGCACAGGAATTAAGGCAAAACTATTTAGCTCCGAGTGTCAGTGTACATAGTGGATGCATATCAAATGGCACTAGATTTTCGGCTTTGACAACTATTTCAACCGTCCTGAGAAATCTGTCGCTCGTCGGGGTCACCCATTAAGCCAGTTCAGCTGCTTCAGCTCGGGAACCCTACACCAAACTGCGACGGCTCCAGCTGATACAGCTTCGTTTACCCAGGATAAGGAAAACGGAGAAATTAAACCCAAGCATCGGAGGCAATGATCCAGTCTTTTTTACTTTGACGCCAAATACATCGTCTTGCCAACTATGGCAGGAAGTGAGAGATGTGACGGAAGAACGTCATTGAACGAGTAACACAGACAAGGTCACCAACCACTGGTTTATCTCGTCCCGCGGGCCCTATCTGGAGGAACGGTAAACACAAATCCGACTGAGTTGATTAGTGAAAGCATGCATGCTTTGTTACTGGGACATGGACTGACCGCCTCTGGGTCGTCTCCATGCGACATAAGACTGGGCGAAATAGCTCAGTGGTTAGAGTGTCAATTCACTGAAACGAAGGGCCGTCGTTCGAACACGGCCTCTGCCTCTCGACTTCCCCGCCTAAGCTTGGGCAACCTGGCAGTATCCTAACATTCGTGCTTTAATTTAGTGGTAAGAGTTAGGCACCGACAGGGTGCTACAGCTGAACGGTTTTTTTCAAGACTGAACGAAGAGGGCTCTAAGAGTCAAACGGTCCTCTTATGATCTACTTGGCCTTAACAACATACCATATGGAGTGTAACTAGCTGATCTATCGAGTAGGAATGAACTATCCTAGAAACCATTTGTTGTGCTTCACCATTACTGATCTGATGTTCCCATTACATCCGTGCCAATACTACGGGGGCGCAGATGGTCAAACACGGAGTTTTCGAATGTCTAGCACATGCAGCGGTAACGACTCTGGTACATGGAGACAGATCGGACCGTAGTAATGTACACGGTTAAACTGGTGTCACGTGAGCGTCACAAATGCCGGAGGCTGGCAAACACTACCCTGGATTTCCCCATAGCGAAGTGATTCCACCAGAACGCAAGTAGACAGATACAAAATTACACTTATAGCGATCGGCCCACCCGAAATCGCGAGGTTTGAGTTTGATCACATCGAATCTCGCAGTGGTTTTTATACTGCGTGTGGAGCGCATATGAAACTATTCACCAGTCTTATTCAGGTCATTTAAAATGGATTGCATTTTTGAAGAATAAGCCCTAGAAGTGCAATGACGTAGGCATACTCAATGTCCGTTAGCAAACTCGCTGTGAGAGGCTTTACCGTAAAGACGTAAACGTTCACTGCAAGGAGCGTAAAATACAAGAATTTACAAGGGATATCTTCCAGCACCAGGCACAGCTATGGACTCCATGGGGTCAAAAGGAGATCTGAGATGCAGAAAATGCAGCCGTTGTCGATCATCCGAAGAAAACGTGCAGCTTCAGTGCTTGCCACAAAGTAAAGATACGGCCGATACAACCCCAGCGAAACTCAGTTGAATTGTCGTGAATTCCAATAAACCGATGATGGGTCAACCTGTGTAGGATAATACCAGTGAGAAACTTGGAAATTACGGCCACTAGACTGATGTCCCCATGTTTCTGCACCTTTTTTGAAAATACGAATCACCGTCAAGGGGCTTCAATCCACCAGTGTTCTTTCCTCATTGCAAATGTTTTGGAGTAAAACTATTAGAACAACCACGGCGGACTCTCCATCTTCTCTGAAGTGTGCAGGAACTCAACCATCGGAACCAGCTGCTTTGTTGCGCTGAAGCAATAAAATCGCACGTTGGACTACTGTCGATGATGGTGGACTGGTATAGAGTTTCCACTCAGTTTCATTTGGTCCTTCGAAAAGTTGAGTTGGTGCAGGCCATCTGAAATTTACTTCAAATTGTTCAGCCCCCAGTTCAGAACAAAGTTTCTGCGAATGAGCTGGAAAACCATGCGTTTCGGAGATTGTCTCACTGAAATCAATCATTCTCCGACCAGCTGATCCGATCAGCTGCAATGGGATGTGACTGTTCCCCATGACAAAGACCTTCTCCAGTCCCTCGGTCCCTGTAATCCACCAGTACTCTCTGTTAACCGTAGACCCCTCATTATTAGCACATGCACCATCATTGCCGTCTGTTAATGGTATTGGTTCCCTGACTTCAATCAGAGATACTGGAGATACAGTGTACATTCGGGTGTGTAAGTGTCCTCGGGCAGATGGCTTTAGGGGCTGTGATCGTCGCCTTTTTCGCCGTTCTCCAGCTGTCATCCAAACCACCGTTACTAACATTGTGACCGTCGAACTCTGGAAGCATGATAATGCTGAGCTACACAGACAATTCCCAGGAGGAGTTCCAGGGAGGGCTTTCAATATTGCTTAAATCAACTAACGTGTTCAAAGGGAGAAGCGAACCGATACGCACCCCTTTGCAATGGCGTGATCGGGGTCGAGCGGTGTATTCCGAAAGTGACGATAAAACTTATATGAAAGCTGTCCACCGGTGGGCGATTGTCACATGGTTCAACCGGGTCAATGGCTGATTGGCGGTTGGCGACCTCCAAGTCACGTGGTGTGAGCGTTTGTGCTGGTTAGGTACGAATGATATTCAACATATAGCCGAGGAATTCGCTACCCATCATCTGTGTGGTGAGCGTCAACTCCGAATCAAGCAGCAAGATGGGCCTCCTCATAGCATCTGCTAGGGACACGGTATCCGCTATTCTTGCTGACCGAAGCCGCCATGTAACAATCTTTCTCCCTCTACCTCAGAACTATCGTCCATTGGAGCGGATGCCGACGAAACAAACAACATTTACCACACCAAGAATCATTATTCCCAATTGAGCTAATCAACCTGACCGTGCAAAGGTTACAGCTATCCGCAATTCAGTTCGCTGAATTGACTTCAACCCTAAGGCTAAGCACAAATCCCACACAATAGATACCATGAGCCATTGCATCGGGATCGTCAGGCACCCGAAGAACACAATGTGAGCAATTTGGGGTCGCTCCGAGTGGTTTGCGGTGCAGGATCGAACTGGAGTGTGCTTCGGAGACCTAACATACATCAATCGAAGAAGAGAACTCGTTTTGAGCAAGGGCTACTTGTTACCCAATATGACACAGAGCGTGGACGCTAAAAGCCACAGTGTGGAACAGATCCCCTGAATTTCACTGAGTAGAAGGTCGGAAACGAAGCAACGGTGAACGGATTGATGACTAAATGACTCAGAAGCAATTAGATGGGTGATGGGTGGGGAGGAGTAGGTGAGCTCAAGCCCAAAAAGAGGATTTGGCTAAAGTTCCCCATATTGAGGCTTTGTCTCAAAAGTCTGACGTAAAAGGCCGTTTGAGGAAGTAGGGTTTTGCTTGGGAACGGCTTTCCTAGCGCCTGACTCAAAATTCTGACCCGTGAGGTAGCGGACGTTAGAGTTCTCTTGAGGGACCTTTTCCAGAGCTAATGCACCAATAGTACAAAAAGTTTGATTGCACGAGCTAGCCTCGCCCGATGGAGCACAGAGTAAAGCATAACTGTGTGGTTCTCAGTGCAGCTAAACACAGAAGAGGCCTTTTGTGCTACACTAGACTCTGGTATTCTGAGCTTACTGAGCAATGCACCGGCGGCCAAGGTCAATATCCTTGGGTGATCGGATTGTGCAGAGAGCAGTACCACTTTGCCTCAAGGCCCCCTCGCAGTATGATTTTTCACCATCCGGGGATTCATTGTTTTTTGTCGGGTTGCTCTCTATTAACCTTCCTGGGATGGTTGAAACTAAGTTCCAGGCAGTATAACCCAAAGGAGCACTGCACCACAGAAGTCCGATAAACATGGTACGCATAGCTTCAGGTCAGGCGATTAAAATCAAGGGCAAGCTCAGTGTAAGTGTAAGCAGGACGGTGGGTGCAAATCACCATTTATCGGGAATAGATGTGACCAACATATAGAACTAGATGAGATGCCAGTGTGACGGTGATACTACTGATGGGGAGGCATGCGAGTAGTGTGTTTTCTTTTTGTAAATTCTCTTTGCATCTCTTGAAAAGGGAGATCTGTTGCGGAATTTGTTGAATCGCTTTGTATCATTTGCTTGGACTCGAGCAACAGTCAATGAATACCCAGGAAAGTTCAGGAAGACGCGTTCAAGAGGAGATCGATGTTCAGCTTTTGTAAATAAGATGCAAGTGAGAGCTGTCCAATAGTCTGTAACTGGGCAGTTGATATTTTCTAATAAATAACTGCAGCGAAGGCCTTCTTCCTTCCATTGGGTACCGTGACCAAGATAAAGACGAAGATCCCCTCGCCACAACCCTTTGAGGATGGGGATGTCCGGAGCTTCCTGGAGGATTTTGAGGAGGTTGCGGAGGCTGCTAGACTGGATACCGACCGAGGTAAGTTGGCGGCGCTGAAGACCCTCCTCGGGGGCCGGGCGAAGGCGGCCTTGGATGCGGCAAGGAGACGCCCTCGGAAGATAGACTAGGCCGCCGCGAAGGAAGTCCTTGCAGCGGAGTTCGACATATGGGCCGACCGCCAGGAGGCTATGAGGCGGTTCAAGAGGGCCGGGATGGCGCCTGGATCTGACCCGACGCTGTTCTTCGCCGGCCTGAAGCAGTCGTTGGATTGGGCTTTGTCGGGACTGGGCGGAGTGTCGCGCCACCAGTTCGTCGAAGGTGCGCAGCCGGCGCTTGGTACCCAATTCCGGTTGGGGCGAGCAACTGGCCAGTTGGGTGTGGAGGAGCTGCTGCGTCTGATCCGGGAGCTGCCCGAGGCACCACTAGCCACGTTGCAGTCGCAGAAGAACAGGGATGGTTCACCAGTGAAGGAACTGCAGACTAGAGTGGACCAACTCGCGGAACAGCTTGCAGCCGTAAAGACGGAACGGCGGAGGCACGCCCGAACGAGCCGGTGCTACATGTGTGGCAAGCCTGGCCACTGGAAGAATTAGTGTCCCCGTACCCGATCACTTGTACATAATAAAACTTTAGAGTACTCCTGTTTTCCTGGGTGGGTCGCGATTAGTACACTGACACAAGCTCCCATACAAGCCGTTGTCGAGGTGGATGGGAAAAAGGAGTTATGCTTGATTGATACAGGAGCAGGCGTATCGCTGAGGCAAATAGGTAACCAAGCTCAACGCCGACCGTGCGCGCTAGCCGTGAGAGCTGTGTGTGAATATCGACTGAAGATTGACGGATTGTCAATGCACTTGGTATGCCTAGGCGACAAGTCCGTGCAGCACGTGTTCCTTATCAGCCGAGACATAGAACAGACAATATTGGGGGCAGATTTTCTCAGGGGCACAGGTTCCGTGATTGACCTAAAGCAGGGAAGGCTGGTGACAAGGTATGGCTCAATCAAGCTTGGAAGTTATCCAAGCGCTGCCGTCAGTAAGCTGCGTGTCCGAAAACTTCCGTCTTGTAACGTACCGTCAGTACGGTCCGTGATCGAGGAATATTCCGAACTGTTCACGGGCGATGAGGATCCATTAGGCTTCTGCCCGGGGGTTGAACACGAAATTCCCCTGTCGTCAGAACGCTTTCGACCTTATGGCCCTCCTCCGTTGCCGCTCCATCTACGGGAGGAGGTCCATAAACAAATTCAAGAGATGTTAAAGAATGGCATAATCAAAGAAGCCAGTAGTGCGTACAATTTTTCAGTTGTCCTTGTAAGAAAGGCGAACGGAAAATACGGGTTTTGCGTGGATTTCCGGCGTTTGAATGAACTGAACGTAAATCGGGTTGTGGCTGTGCCTTCAGTTGCGGAGATTTTCGATTCCCTCTACCATTCCCGATATTTCACTGTGTTCGACTTGCGTTCCGGATATTAGCAACTATCTATCAAGGCGGAGGACCGGGAGAAAACGGTGTTCACGATTGGGAACACCTACTATAAATTTAGACGAATGCCGTTTGGATTGTATGGGGCACCATTCACATTCCGGCGCTTGATGCCTCGTTTAACGAAGGGACTGCAGAATGTTGCCGTGTACGGAGACGATATCGTCGTGTATAGCGATTCGGAACTAGAGCACGCAGTTTGCTTGAAGTCTGTATTGAAGCGGATCAGGGAGACTGGCCTGAGGATAAATGGAGCCAAGACACAGTTCGCTCGGAGTTCGATGATAATACTGATGCATAAAGTGGGTCACGGAGAAGTTGGCCCACTGCTAGAAAATTGGCAAATATCGAGAATTGTGCTCTTCCCAATATAAAGAGGTCTCTACGGCAGTTTCTTGGACGAGCAGCATACTACAGCCGCGTTTTTAGGGATTTCAACACAATCGCCGCGCCGCTGTACGAATTGCTCGGTCAAAATCGGAAATTTGAATGGACCGGAAAAGCACATGAGGGTTTTGAGCGTGTCGAAGCACGGATGTTGGATCACCAACTGACCCTCAAACCATCCAGGGTCGCAGAGATGTTCAGTTTTGCAACGGGCGCTAGTGATCGCGGTATTGGCGCAGTACTGAAGCAGAGGAATGGAGTTTTCGAATATGCCAATCGACTAACGCCGAACCATGGTACTCGAACATTGGAAAAAATGTTTAGCAATCGTCTGGACCCTGGATAAGTGGAGGCCATATCTGCTTGGACAATTATTCCATGTCGAAACCGATAACAAACCTCTGGAGTGGATGAGGACCACCAGAGATCCTCGCGGGAAACTCGCACGCTGGGCGCTCCGGTTGCATGAGCAAAACGTGCAGTACAGCATGTGCCAGTGAAGAAGAACCATCTGGCTACTTGTCTGTTAAGACCAAAGACTGAGGATGAGACATCCATGATCATGATTGGTGCCGATAGCCTAGTCCTCGAACTGGATCTCGGAAAGTTGGTGCAACTCCAACGGCAGGATCCCGTGTTACGAAAGGTTGCAGCCGCCTTGTTGGATGGAAGAAACATTGAAAACGGAGAGGGAGACAAGGAATTAGAAACATTCCGGAGTCACTTTGATCGGCTGAGGCTGAATGAAGCTGGCATAATTTCCTGGAACGCCACCAATTCGGATGTTGTGCTGCCCGTGATGCCCCGCTCATCGTCGAATGCCATGAGATGGCACATACAGGGTGCACCAGGACATACGACCTACTTCGGCAGAGGGCCTACTGGCCCGGGAGAAGTGAGGTGATGGATAATGTGGTGTCCCGTAAGCGGTGCCAACTAATGGAAGGGGACACGACAGGGGCAACCCATCCCATGGAACCTATTCCTGTTTCAGGAATCGGCAAGTTGTGGTCCGTTGACGTAATGGGCCCCTTACCGGTGACAACCAGGGGGAACCAATACATCGTGATAATGACAGAACACATGCCGCGGTAGATTGAGGCGGCATCCGTGCCTAATCAACGGGTGATGACGATAAGTGGAGTGGCAATTCATCACACCGTGGCCAACCTAACCGATCAGGGGTCTTGCTTTGAGAGCGATGAGCTTAGGATTCGCTTGCAGAAGCTGGGCATCAGATGGCTAGGGACGGCGCCACACCACCCGCAAACAAATGGTCTAACCGAACGTAATAACCGAACGATCAAGGAGTGGCTTGCAGCCAAAGGTGATTGGGAAGTGAACCTGCCGATGGTGTTGCTAGCTCATCGTGCTTTCATGCAATCAACCACAGGCGATTCCCCGTTCATGCTGATATATGGTGGACATCCGCACCTTCCGTTAACATGCTTGTCTTCGAAGGAGTTAGGAGAGAAAAGGAGGAAAGATCAAGAAAGCTTGACCACCGTTCAGAAAGGCACGAACATTTCCCATAGGCGCAAAGGTCAAGAGGAGGGATCATCAGAATCCTGGAGGGAGTGGACTGGGGTCGCGGAAGCTGGGCAGTCGATGGCAAGGGCCGTTTGTCGTCACCGACCGCCGGAGGAACGTCCATACAATTCAAGATGATCGGCGATCGAAAATAGTAAATGGGACGCAGCTCCGTAAGCAGCATGATACACTCGAAAAGTAGCCGAGTAGAGCCGCTGCCGAAGCCGACATGACGGAGGTAACTAATAGTCGATGGCATGCGAACGACCTTTAAAGGGAAAGGTGTGTAACGGCGATACTACTGGTGGGGAGGCATGCGAGTAGTATGTTTTCTTGTAAATTCGCTTCGCGTCTCTTGAAAAGGGAGATCCGTTGCGGAATTTGTGGAGTTGCTTTGAAGCATTTGCTTGGATCTGAGCAACAGTTAATGGATATCCAGGAAAGTTCAGAAAGACGAATTCAAGAGAAGATAAATGTTCAGTTTTTGTAAATAAGATGCAAATGGGGTTTCGCTTCCCTGTCCAATAGTCTGTAACTGGTCAGTTGGCATATTCTAATAACTACGCAGCGAGGGCCTTCTTCCTTTCACCAGCAGCGTAAATTACGATTTTGTCATGCATGTTTGGCAACTTGTTTTGTGCAGTGTACGTCATGAAAAAGAATCCGTAATTTGAAATGTTGGCATAAGCCAATTTTTAGGTTCTGCCGTCTCTCTGAAAGTGATCCGATGAAAATATCAGATCATCCTCTCGTGAAATGAGCTCTCTCTGAGGAATAATCATATCGTGATACCAGATAAGATGATAAACAGAATGGTGTACAGGGAGATTCGCCTTGGCATATTAGACACTACCCTTCAGAAGCTAAACGGTCATCCGCCTAGAAAACTCGGTATACGTGCCTGCCTCACGCGACTCTGCGATATTTATGAACAGGAAGAAGCTACGTGGGACAGCAAAGGGTAGTTTCCTGACAGGTTTCTAACATAACTGTCTCGATGGTGACTGTGCAGTTATAACCAACGTGGTATACAGATCGTCCACTTCGAATGTTCATCAGTGTCACAACGCATAATAGGATTACTTGTATTGGAAGTCCACTCTGTGAGCCTGTGGAGGTGAACGAGTAAATATGACGAAACAGAGAAAATGAAGGAAGTGTGATAAAGTAAATTCCTGGCTCAACTGAAGCACATCGTACTGCTGATGAGTTTTATGGGCCCCCAAAATACGTGGGACGACACCTGTGGAAGTGGTAATCCCCAGTGGACGAAAAGTACTTGAAAACAGTCAAATGGCACATACAGTCCTCACAGTAACGGACCTGTCTCACAGCCGCGGGTATATGATCCGCGGCAAGGATGCGCAGCAGTGGTCACTTTAGACGTAATGATGTGGGCTTCGAACCCACTTGTCAGTCATAAGGGGAAGAACAGAAATGAAGGATTGCACAAAGAGAGGGTCAAAGAGTGAATTCGTCTAAACCACTTGACCCAAACGCGTGGGAAGAAATAATACGTTGGGTGTTTGTATTCCGTAACATTAATGGTTTGCGACCGAAAGCTAAAACAGACTAATCTACTGCTTCAGAAGGTAGGATGGTTTCTTTTGATTCTCACTTGGCTGCAAGAGGCGGAGCTCAGAACGGTTACTTGAAACTCATCACATGCTCTCACATCATCGACGCTCTACCCTTGTAGCTGCAGGTAAGCATCCATTTGTCAACTCCAAACTAGCAGACTGGATTATACTTCCCTCTACTGCTAATCAGTTTGCATGATCGAATTTACATTCAGGTGTATGCAGCTTTCAGCGACAATTTGCAATTTTCGGGATTAGTGTACACGAAACTGATGGAGTTCCACACGGGTGGGCGAAACTGACACAGCTGTCCAGCTTTAGAAAGACCACCCCTCAGAAGGGATCACTAACTGATCCTTGCAGGCGATCTCCCTAAAAAAGGAATCGCATAAACTGACACCAGTAACGAAAAAAATTAAATAGTTTGTATAGCACAACTGTTCGAGTGTCGTTATGCGATTCCCTCCGGAAAAGTAACTCAAAGGGAAATACTTCTGCCAGGAGGAAAATTTTGAAGATACGAGGTGTTTTTCATTGCGATCCCACTTTTCAAAAAGGAGACACGTACCGTTCCATAAATAGCTGAGTTGCTCCATTGGCATGGCAACGAAAATAGCTCATACTTCCGGAGAGCTTACGTGAAAATACTTCTCGCATCCCCAATATTGTACTCTTTCTTTAGGCATTTATCTGCGTCATAGCTTGTCACAGCGGTCTTGAATTTGTTCCCAACTTAAGGTGCTTTTTGAACGTCAGGCGATGGGCGCCTTGGGGATCATCGCTCAAGTCGCCTAATGGGAGCGACAGATTTGTTCTCTTGTCAGTGATAAAAACTGAATGAATCAAAGTATCGCCACCAACGTCCTTCGTTCGAAACTGAAATGGGTGGGTAAATGTAAACTTCCGATTCTCACATGAAAGTTTATTCTTTTTTGACAGGCAGTCACCACCGACAGGCGTCAACATCGGTGCTTCAATTCCTCATTTTAAGTTGGTGGTGTGCACGCAATACGAACAAACTTCGTGACCATGACATGATGGCTCGCCAAGTAAACAGACGAAACAAGGATAAGAGCGGGTTATTCCTAAGGTCCTTGTTCTCATGGATTCGCGTAGCCATGTCAAAACACGTACATAATGCTCTAAGCGATTCCAAATAAAAACAAGGGGGAATGTGTTGTGTTTACTCATGCACCCAAAAGAGCGAACAAGCGAGTCACCATTTGATGACATACCACAGCTAACCGAGAGTGCATCCATTCGGCAAACAATGCACTTCAGTTACGGTCTGCATTCGTACGAAACGTGCACGCGCGACCCTGGAGTGTTGTCAGAGCTCGAGATTCAAAGTGAGTGCCCTTGGAACGCATGCCAATTTTGACTACAACAGGACCCAGGATCACTGGGGACCATATGTGATGGTGGTCAAAACACGTTAGCTTGCTCCCTTCGACTTAGCAGCTCGTTGTTTTTACCAGCTGTATTTAGATGCATTTTTTCCACCATAAATTCACTTAGTTAAGTGTCACCTGGTTTCCAGCACACTTACGGACACGAAACTCAAACGTCCCACCTCTACAGGAACAGACGAACCAATGAAACCAAGCGGTCATTCGACTTCTTTAAGAACCTCGTCAGCAGCAACCCGATTGTTGCATCACCCCATGATTTGGACAAAACATAGCGAACAAAATACCCAGTTCCGGGACTTATTGACAAAAGTGAACAGTTATTAGACTTCAAACGAAGTTAACAAGTGCCGTTTTACTCACCTGTACAACTCGTTGGACCAGTTGTCTGCACATCCATAGATTCAGCATCCGAAGGTAGGTCCTGTGGAAGTCCATTGTCAAGTATGGGCACTGAAGACGAATCTTCGTTGGTTTTATTTGTATCCTTCAAGACGCTATCCCATAGTTCAAATAAAGCATCCGTGGTTAGGGGTGAAGGTGGCGGTTCCATTGGTTCTTTGCTGGTAACCACAGGTATAGAAGTAGGAAAGTTGAGTAAGAAGTGATCAGTTATGGTGGGTAATTTAGAACAAATCATCAGGAGTATGCTGAAATTTCACATCTTACCGGACATGAGGATATCCAAGTGCCCGGAGACCAGCTATGTCTAATAAGCGAACATAATGTCATCGGACGGATGTCACGTGCAGCATATGGACCATATGGACATGCCCTGATTGATCAGAATGCCAGTCAATCCGGATCGAGCATCTTCAGCTCGAGGCTTCTCGCCCCTTCACGGAGATTCTGGTACGAACTTGTGGAACATTCTGCCACTGTCTTATAAATACGGTTGTAATAATCTTCCTTTGTTTCGATAAAGAGCTGTCTAGAGCTATCGTGCCTTTTGGTATACCATAGTGGGTGGAGCAGGAAGCCAAGGGACCGATAGGGTTGCGCGGCTGTTCAGCAAGTCCCAACAGCCAGTAGGATAGGCAAAAAATGTTGAGAAAGACTACTTGCTCAAAACTCTTTCACTTATTTCGCTTATTCGCCCTCCAGATTCTTTTTTGGGGCAAAGGGTGTAAGAAAATCGGTGTTCTTTTATTGAGTGCGATACAACGCATGGACAGGAACTCATATCAGAAATGACCCGGACATTAGCCAGTGAAAATTGCAATTGTATGGTTGGGTCCCACAAGAATCTCAATCACTTATGATATAATGTGTTACCTTCTGCCAGTCTGCAGGAAGTTTTACTTTTGGGCACTGCATTTTTGTGGAACCAGAAGATAAGGCACCTATTCAGTTGTTGAAAAGTAAGTCTTCGTATGCATTTCTCTTGCGACAAAACCGGTAGTTACAAACATGCGTTTTCAAACCATTCAAAGAATGTAACAGGAACAGGCCTCATCATCATCATCATGGGCAGCATGACATTAGCGTTCGACACTGATGCTTCGCCGCCACAGAGCAACAGGGCTGGACCTCTGTAAACATCAACTCGGTGGCCATACCGTACCTGAGCTTGGAAAGAAGTGATCCGACTGGCAAACCGACAATCTTTGGAAATCGATTTCCACCTACACCGTGATATGACTACTGAATTTTTGTTTGACTAGGATATGAAACTTGGTACAAGCTAACGGGAGCAGCATGTGTACTCACGCCACATCCAAAAGATGTATGGCTTCACACAAGCCGTGTTACTGTTTCTTAAAGTCGGTGACAGTTAAATTTGTCAGGCAAATAGCGCTTTCAACCCATTCACATTTTCAGGTTTGTGGAACAACGTCACGTCTGCCCAATAGCATCGACAGTCAACATACGATGTTTAGTTTAGACATAAATATATAAAAGCATTAGCCCTTACTTATGGTTGGACAGAGCGCGTGAAAATATTACCACATTAATGTACCAAAGAGTGACATGTAAGATTGTTCAGGTAGACGATGCAGCATCCGGTGTAGATCTCTGGTTGGATATTTGTGAGGTTGTTTTCTATCCGATCAAGTGTTCAGCAACAATACCGAAAAGTTTACTAGTCTCGCACAAAGCAGTGGCAGAGAGGAAATTTTAAAAAATTTATTACGATGTTTGTTTCTCTTGATGATACTCAACAAAGGAACAGTGCAGAGAAGCAGTGCGATCGACCGTCGTGCTATTGAAGTTATTATTGTTAAAGTTGAACCTGAAATAGTATACCGACGGTAAGGTTTTCAAGAAAATTGACTTATAGTGTTGACTGACGAACCCTTTATGTTCTGCCCAGCGTATTCCCGTACAGTAATCCTTCGGTCCTCTAAGTGGTCTGATCCTAGAGACAGGTCACCGGAAACTTAACGAATCAATAGATGAACAATCCGGTGTGTATAATTATACCATGTATAGATGATTATTTATTACAATCCACAGCGAAAATATTCCGAGCACCCCCTAACGGTTCGAAACTAGGAAAATAAGACATTCACCGCACCCGTAAGGGTCCCGGAAAACCAGTTGTATACAGGGATCAGGAGAAATGAAATGGGGGCGCTGGTAAAATAGTGACACAGTTTTGCGCCTGGTTTACTCACGTGATATGATCTACCTCTTCCCTTGTTGCTCCACCATCTGTATATGCGGCGGAACGGTTATTCAAAATCTGTAGTCCATCGGACCAACTGGATGCCGTATGTATCCTGCTTAAAGAAACGCCTGGTAGTTCAGCGTTTGGATCAAAACTAATATGGCGAAGGCGTGGAGTGGAGGCGACATAAGGAACGCTTGTGAGACCAATCTCGGATGAGTGGGACCTGTCAACCGCAGAGCCAGAAACCTGGTTAGGTGTGGTTTCGAGTGTCGGCTTAACATGCAGCAAAGGAGAACTGGAACGACGAGATCGGACGGTAGAAGAGGAGACACAGTTAACCAAAGCACTGCCACCTAACTTGCGCAGGTACGAGTACAGTAAATTACGCTCCAATTGAAGTCCGGAGGTAGAGTTGCTGGAGGAAGACAGCAATCCAGAGTTCGGAAAACGACCCGAAGATAGACTGTAGAGAAAGACCAAAGATATAGGTTGGCAAGTAGACAAGGAAAATAAATATAGTCATTTCGAATACCAATTCGAACACTACTAAACATTCTCAGTTAATCCGATAGTTAATCTGCCAGTTGATTGGCTGCCACCGCAGAATGGTTACGTTTGTTTAGTAGATTTTTTCATTGGGGAAAAATAGAAAGATGTGAAACAACGTAAAATACACGTGATAAGCAACTAGGTGGAAAATTTCGCATCCGAAATCTGTTAAAAAGTTCCTATGAAGGGATGTTAAAAGATATTATCCAATAAGGCGAGTGGCAACCGTTTTTCGATGGTGGTTCAGCCGATGTTTCAATTTCTATTGAGGATGAGCCAGGACAAGGGAGAGAGCACCCAAACAGAAAATCCTAAAGTCTAGAATAGTCGAAATTGAACCATGCAAAACAAACTCACGGATCCGTAAGATGGAAACTGATCTGAGACGAGAATATTCAACTATCTACATGGATGTCCACTGCATCCTGTCTCACTACGGATACTTACGACAAAATGAAAGTTGGATGCAGTGGCTCACCTCAACCGTATTGTTGTTCACTATTTACGCCATAAAGGACAACGGAGGGACAAACAAAAACAATGTGAAACTTAGAGAAGTTTGGCAAGCAATCGATGGATTTATTGTTCAATTCTGTCCCATCTTGTGCTTTGCAGTTATCTTTCCCAAGTTTTCTTGGCAGTTTAATGTCACCTTTTGACGTCAAATGACTCGAAAACTATTTGTTGACCAAAAACGAAACCAAGAGAGCGATGCTGTTTCTTAGACGCCTTGACAACCAGTCTGTTCAGAGTGCGGTTGGTGGTGATAGGGGGAGGGGAAGGATGTGCATGCACCACCATTACTGTTATTGCTGAATAGTATCACCAGCAAACGATAATGATGATAAGCATCCCCACGATAGATAAAAACAAGGTGCACCCAGAGTGGCGCACCCAAAAAATCCAGGAACATCATGTTGAGCCATTTGAAAAAATAGCTGAAGAAGTTAACCTGTGGTATATCTCATGCACATTGCGATTTCCGTGTCTTGCAGCCTGTGTTCGTATCAAAACGAATCTGAAACGAATGTGGGTCGCAGAAAAGCGAATACCGTCCAAATAACGTACCGTCAAACTGCTACGTATGTATACACACATTCACACACCACTCTTCAAAGGTGAACAAGAAATCCGTATATTTACCAAGGCCGTGTATCGATTGCCTCAGAAAGTGTAGATGAACAGCTGTTGAACAGGTGACTAATCGTTGGCACAATGCAACTGGTAAGGCTTCCTGTGGTATTGTTTCGTAAAAGGTGAGACAGTTAATCTAAAGTCACATGACAAGCAGGCGGCAGTTAGGTGTACATAAAAGAAGTCAGGATGAAAAATGTCGTGCACAGTAAGCACGTATAAGTTTAGTATACAGAGGTTGACGGTTGAAAAATGAGCACAATCAATACTGTGAGGGTAATCTAACCCGTCACAAAGATGGTATGAGTAGCTTCACCGTTGTTTCATCGAATCATAACTTTAAGCAGTCATGAAGGAAATCAAGAGGAAGAGAGCCGCTTTTATGTATTTATGTTCGCGATTAAAGTACTGTTGTTCTAGTGGGCAGGCTCGTCGGCAGCCCACTGACGGACTTGTTTGAGCGCTGTACGTCAGAACAGGTATGACACAGGAGAGGTTGGTAGATCAGGTAATGTGGTTGATAGTTGACTTGTTCGCTGGACATGGCTAGTTTGTTGCAAAAGTGTGGTCACAAATCGAGATAGCAGCATCAGTGCAACCCTGGTCACTTGCGCTTGTGTATGTTCATGTTATGTGAAACAGAAGACGTTTGATTTGTCGGTTCTATTGGTTGGCCCGATGGTCGAGTTCTGATTGGCTAATATCCAGATGGCCGTCGAGTTTGACCTCTTCTAATCATACTCAGTGACATCTACCCGGGTGCTTTCATAGTAGATCCCATCATATGACCCCTTCCTCTGATGGTCGGTCCTGGTTGAGGGGTTATGCAGATTCCATCCAGTTAAATATGACGGTTGATTGAGTACCATGATTCCAGAAACGCCCCTGCTGTTTTCCTGGTTACGGTTCACCTGTCGTCGGTTGAGCTACACTGTTGTTTTTGTGGCCTCTTTCGGACCCACACAGTAGTTGACAATTTTTGAAAAGCTCACGCGAATAGGTTGATAGTAGAGGTTTTATGGATAATAAAACTTAGTCTATGCATTCCGTCTAGTGTAATCCCGTGGTTATGACGGTACAGTAGCTGGCTGACGTTGTCGCATCGAAAAGATGTGACTTACATTTGGAACGGTTAGGGAACCTCGAAATTTCGCTGTTCAGAGCTTCAGAAACTGAACAGTTCCGCTGTAAGTGATGCGCATCAAGTATATCAGGGAAGCTCACTCACATATCCGAACAGCTTTTTGGCTAGCAAAAGCTTTACTCTTTAGCATCGAACAATCCACTGGGCTTTTAAACAAAGATGTCCCATAGAACAGAAGAACATCGCTGCAAAGGCGTCCTCTTTAGGGAGAAAAATTCAATTGGTCTCTTAAGCTTCCAACTTCCAAAGTCCAGTATAGTAACTGTCGAACCTAGTCATAATCGAACAGACAGCTGTACGATAAAACTTGAATTCCAATCATGCCTTTGTTACCGCTAACGGGCGTTATAGTGAAACAAAGGAGTACCCTGTTGTAGATATACGGTGGCCACAAACAATACAAAGCTGTATTTCAAGAATGAAACAGGTAGCTTAGTAAAGTTTGACTCTAACGACCCAAGATCCACCTGCCAATGGACAGTGGCTGTAGCGCGACACCGATGAATATAGGTCACGTGCAATAATTTAAACGAAAGACGTATAACTGAAAAGTCCGTGCCCTTTGTGTTCGAATCTTAAACTGAACGGAGTGGGCAGAAGAATCAAAGCTAAAATGATACACTGAGGGAACAGTGCTAAAGCTGCAGACGAATCAAATGGCAGGTTTTGGTCGCAAAATTTCAGAAAGTGAGAATCACAAACATGTCGAAATCAGAGTAACAAAGCCAGTCAACACGTGATCAGAGGACGTGGATTCCTTGACTGAAAGGTGAGTGGACAATTCACGACATGGAAACAAACTATGAAGCCAATAACCAGCAAACTCAGTCGGGTTGACAAATGCCACCTCTCTGTACGGGGACCCTAGCACGCAGCTGTTGATGGCACTAACAGAAGTGGCTTTAATTAATCCCACCGTCGAACAGAATCGCTGATCACCTATCAAGAACACAAGCTATGTTGAGTGAGGACGGAGGAATGATCATAGAGTATCACGCAGATCAACCAGTTGTTTGCGTAAAAGTTATTGTATTGCGTTCAGCTGTAGCACCCTTCCGGTGCCTAGCTGCCATGCCACCCGAAGGAAGCACGAGGGCTGGGATACTGCCAGGTTGCCCAAGCCTAGACAGGGGAAGTCGAGTGGCGGAGGTCGGATTCGAACCACGGACCTTCAGGTTAGTAATCCGCGCTCTAACCACTTCGGCCATCTCGCCGAACAAATAGGAATCAACGAAAAGTAGGAGAGATTAAAATGTGTATCCGTCAAGAGTCGAGGAAATTAATAAAATAAATAAGATTCATAAGGTTTAGGCTAAACACCACCGAGAAAATCCTTAAACGAGGGCTCAATGAACTCTTCCCTCGTAATTATCTGAAACCAGACGTAGCTCGTACATTTTCCCTATATGAAACAAAATGAAGAGAGAAACTGCTCCTTCAATTCAAGTGAAGTGTAAAAACGCGAGGAATAAAGCATACGAAGCAGACAAATGACTTGACAGAGAAGCCAAACAAAGTTAGCAGGTTGAAGACTTCCAATATAATGGACATCTACTATGCATGAGTCATCTAGTGATGTTTGGCAGTGAATAAGGCAATGACTATACAATCATCAAAAGACATTCGGGTGAATTCATCGCGTGCGTGAATCAGTCACCAGCCGGGAGGACTTCAAACAAAAGTGCCGGCCGGTATAAAATGCGCTTACCCAGGGTCTGCAGCGCCATTCTGAAAGCCGGAATCGATCATTTCGTCTAGTGCATCGATTCGTTCGATAACTAGCAGCCGACAAAGGACGGCAAGTTGTTCGTGTTCTTGCATGAGAGCTTGTAGTCGCCCGGACCGCTCATCGCTCTCTTCTTGTTTCACGTCCGATTGGATGTCCAAGGCTTGCTCCTGCAGAGAAAGATCAAGATGAACTACGGGATAAAAAAACACGACACCGAAGATTGCCACGGTATCCACTGGACGACGACCGTATCAGTGAACGAAATAGTGTTATCGTGTCCTCCAGAAGCAAAGTTGTCAGTTTATTGTTTGCATGTTCTAGTTAGGGTTTGTCACAATCTTTGCGTAGGATTTTGTAGATGAACTTGGCCTTTCAAAATAATCAACTGTAACTCATTCCCATAAAAGACCAGGAAAGACGGGAATTTGACTGGAAAAGTGTTATCATACCAAGAACATGGTGAAGCAATAAAAATGCACATAGGGAACTGTCTTATTCACGAACCACCGAAGACATTAAACTCTGATCCTCAAGGTGAATCAAAGAAGCAACCAACAAATACTAAACTCGAAGGACAGACTAATATTAGACTACTACAAGTCGCAGTAACAAAAATCAGCAAGCGAAGGAACCCAACAGGCCAAAGAGCAGGGCCTGATAAAGGAAAAGTTTTCAAAGCCAAAGAACCAAGCGCACAATAATGGACGGCGTCAGAATAAAGGACATAAAAAATAATGGAAAAAGGGCAAGTGATCAACCAAAAAGACAACATACGTCAAAACAACAGATCGAAACAAGGGGGAACAAAAAGGACGGCATCTAGCCGTCAACCATCAAACGTAAGAAACATCAACCAGAACACAAACCAGGTCGCAAACGAACTACCAAGACCATGAACATGATGAATTAAGGAGCCAGTCACGTTGGAAGCATGATTCTTTTTAAAATTCATATCAACGTAGGCGAGGAGAAATTATCAACTTAGCGGTAAACTGACATCTATCTGAATGGTGACGAAATGTTTGCAAGCTAACCGCCAAACACGGCGAACAGATCAACCACCATGCGACCAAGAGTCAAGTATCTTGTACTTGAATATGTGTTCATTAGTATGCTCCCAATGTCCTCATGAATGAAAGATCACACTATTTGTAAAAATGTGGGTATTGGAAACGATGTGTAGTTGTGCAACTCTAATGAAGGCTTGTGCAAGACCGACAGGTTCATCCCCGGGCTGATAGAGTCTCCGTCTCACTGTTGCTTGTTAGAAACGGCCTTAAGCAGGCACCTATATGCTGTGAACGTGGCCAAAATTAGGGAGTATATTCATTAGATTGTATAAAAGAACAAAGGCAAGTTACTTTCACGACGGCAAACAGTGTTGAAATATAAATGTCCGGAAATCTCGTTTAGTGAGTAGAGAGTAGACAACACAGCAAAAACTTGCTAAATAGAACGCTGGAAACCGAGTGGTTCAACGATGATAGAACAGTCAGAAAAGTTACCTTGGCAATTCTTCGGCGCAACTGTCGCACACGAAGCCAAATATGTTCAATCTGAACGAGTGTAGGGGGTCCATTGTTATGAGCTGAATGTTTTAGATCCACAGGACAATCAGAACAAACGTAGCTATTAACTTGAGCACACGGGTCAACAATAGTGGTGACGAGGAACTGTTGTGATTCATTTGCGGGTCCTTGAACAACGTTTGAACTCCGGCGAGATTGATCGGAAGAAGATACAGGTGACTGAAAGCAAGATTCCGCGGACCCATTAAAATCATTCTGAGTCGAGTACGCAGTCTGGGACTGGATGGTTTGAGAGACACCGATTGCACCGGATGCTAGGGGGAGATTTGACGGACTGGAGGCATAACAAACCGAGGATTCCACAAAGGGCTTGGACAGAGGAACAAATGGAATTTGTTGACTAATAGATATTGGGATGGAGGGAAGAGTAGAGAACGGTGCGTCAGCTGCCACCTGGACAAGGATTAGCGAAGTAGACGCCATCGAAGACAGCTGGACAGAAGTAGCTGGAATGGTGTTGTGATTTGCTGTGGAAAAAATCAGGGGAAGAAAACGGCAAGGATTAAGTACAAACTACTCAATAGAGAATCGATGAACGAAGAAACATAACGAACCAATTCCTTCATAAACAATCGTCTCCCATCTAAGTGAGGATTGAAGGAGCAAAGGGAACATTATTCTGACAGTTGAAATAAGGAGACGATAGCTGTTCAATCACGTGAAAAATACTTGAAACCGATTAAGTAGTCAGCGTTTTCGAAAAAGTTTGGTGACAATCGGTAGATTTATTGCTGGACAACGTTTCGCTTTTGACACAAAAGCTTCGTCAGGCCAAATGACAGGGTTGGTTCTCCTTCCGCCTTAAATCTCGATCAACCTCGGAACTTGGCCTGACGAAGCTTTTGTGTCAAAAGCGAAACGTTGCCCAGCAATAAATCCACCGATTGTCACCAAACTTTTTTCGAAAACGAGACGATAGCTGTTTCATTCAGGACTTCCGCACGAAAATTCTTTAGCTGAAGAAATTGAACGGATTATCGAAGAAACAACAAATTCTGAGACTATTTGCGATAAAACTGATTTAATTCTGGAGATTAAATAAATAATCACGGTGCACGGTTGTAGTGAGAACCGTGTAGCATGAAACCGTAGGTTAAAAGAATTTATGGTATAAAATGGTATTTAGCGGGAATACTACAAACTAATAGGTTCTGACACGCGTGTGGCAGCATAGCCGATACAAAGCTACGTGCCAAACAAGCCACGCTCGACAAAACAGGATAACGAAATTGCAAAAGGATAGTCAAATGATCGACTGAATGTGATTTTGTGTTTTTTCTGCTTTGCCTTTTCGGTGAGCCGTAAATACCATGATTACAAGCTTGTGAATGCGTGTCATTATTTTTATTCTCAGCCATATCATTCAGTGACAGCAACGACCAGGGATATTCGGGTCCCAACGAACCGACAAAGTCAACTGGCACGCCGTGTCACATCTCAGTTCACTACCAGTCATCTACTCTGTACACGCAGCATGGCAGACGCGGGCGTAAAAAGTGCCCACATCGTCGCAACGAATGAAATGAAAACATTTTTTTTCAAAAAGAGTTGTCTAAATCCAATATTTCATGACAAGCGATGTGGGTGGCAGATGAGCTTCGCTGTTGTCAGGGCCAGTACAAACGCCCAAACATGTAGGAGGCTAACGCAATACATCACTAAGACTTATTCTGGGTGATCAGGTTGCTTTCTCGTTTTTATTGCTATTCCATGCTTACTTTGTAAACATTAAATTGTATCGTTTTACATCGTCTTGGATTCAAATTTAATTTACCGTGTAATGTTTTTTTCACGTAATTCTGCTAATGAGCCACCATAAAGCCTCCTGGCGTTAAGCTTATAATTATGCTAGAAGTGATCATCGCTGCGAAGATCAAACTGAGTAATGAGCAACATTAGCTAGCCATTTGTGCTTTAGGTGACTACTATGGGCAGTGTGAATAACTGATTCATACAATGTGGCACTAAACTTGATGTGACCGGATGATAGGCTTGGAACTATCTCCCTCATGTTCGTACTCCGGTCTTGATTCCCCGGATTTACACAGAGCATATGGCATATGTTCAGCTAGTTACAAGGCGGTCCAAGGTATACGCATGCGGCATCAGCTAATGTGCGCGGGGTCTAACGTTTCAGTCCGATTTGACAGCCAAATCCAGGAATGAATGCCAGTCCACAATGACCAACGTCCCATTTGTTCTTGACACCGGATATGTGCAGGACTTCATAAGCACTGCTTTTTAGTGGATTGAATTTGCGTGAAGGGACCAGGTGCCGCATCCGTAGAGGAGTACAACACGTGCAGCGATGCTCTCGTTGAGAAGTGGGATGCCGCGTCACTGCCATTGTTGTTGACCCGACTTTTGCATTTTGTTGTGGGATCTCACCTACACCATACGTGTAAGCGAAGCTGTCGACTAGTTCTAACCCTTATTCATCCAAGATGAAGTAAGCGTAGGTTTCTGTCAATAGTAAAGTACACATATTACACTTTCCGGGAACAAAGCACACAACTAAAAGCTCATCAGGTGTCTATCTGCCAGTCGAATTTCTTTAACCGATGACATGTGGAGTCACAAATATTGCCTTGCTTGGGAGTATGATAGTATAACCACTAGTGAGACTTTAACGCGTGTAGGATGCCAGGACGTCACTGGCTCACAAATGGATAAATAGCAATAGTGCGCGATTAAGTCACACTTAAAAGACCTGTGATAGTATGGTGCTTGAGGCGTTAACATACAAAGGCGCTTTACTACAGCAGCAAAACCTGTAGTTTGTACCAAGGAACCATCTACACCCGAAGTGATAACTTGTGTGGATTACGGCAGCGAAATGCCAAGTAATCTGATGATGAAAGAATACCCATATACAGTGGAACTCTTAACGAGTACCAGGACAAGAACGTGCGATGGAAAGTTACAAACCCAACGGTACTACTCCATAATGCTCCGTGGCCCTTTGTCTGTCATGTTTGTTTGTCATGTTTGAGGTGGTGATAAAGCGCCACAGACAGTCGTTTCAAAAGCCTACAAGGAACAATGATTCTGAGGAGTACAAGCCATGAAGTCAGAAACGAAGTCCACACAACCCGTAGTTCGTCTATGGGTTTGGATTTATTGGTTTGTAGTAGCATATTAATAGTTGCAAGGTCGACCATAACACAGGGAAATTGAGGTGGTGAATTCCAAGTAAGAATATACGGTCTCCCAAAGGAAATGAATCAACTCGTAGTTCCAGCTGGAATAAATGACAGGCTTACATGTCGCTGCAGTTACAGTCAACATACACTCAACGGGGACTATCATCAGTTTCATAGAGAAGGACAACAAGGTGCTTTCAGTATAGTAGTCCAGAAGTTTGCGTTGCCCTATCACAGAAAACGGTCACACTATAGGACAGTACAACACATGATGAGAAAAGTCACAACAAATACTCCCTGTACCTGACAATCACATAGTCTACCGAGTATGGCAAATATTCCTCTGTAGCGGGAGTCTCGGTTCAGAACACCTCATCAGCCATTGACTAGTTACCCATTTGCGACAGCTGTCACCATCAGAAAACGAGAGAGCGGGAGAAGCAATCAGGCATTAGATGAAGTGGCATATTCTAGAGGTTTGATGTCAAATCATCCTAGTTATCTGAATAAACGGTAAACCGGGCAACCATGCATTGAGTGCGCGTGGTTGATGCGCGAGCACAGCTGACTGTGTGATCAAGGCATTTCCGCCGGTGCCACTAACTATTGATCAGCTGCGTGTCGGATCCCACATCAAGAGGCGCGGCAGTTGTCAGTTCGACTGAGTTTACTGGATAGAGTTTCCCTACTTCGTTACTATGCCATAGACTGTCCATATGTCGGTTGCTACTATTCCGCATGGGGCTTGACAAAACGGAGCTCTGTGAGGCAGGCGTCTTATGGCACGCAAAGCACATATCATACCGGTGTGATCAATGGAGCGTGAGTGGTGGACATATCACTAGACGATTTGTGTCAGGAAGGTCGGATTTCTGAAAATAATTCCAGAATGTCCGAAACCTATTGAGACCACCAAACCCTACCAAAATCTCCATAAGGAAGCCAGCAAGCATCCAGGTCAGTCGATCAATCAATCAAGTAAGAAACAACCTGGGAATGTCATTAAAAAAACTCGAGGCCCTTGCAACTGTTGCAATCGCTCGTTAGCAATCAAGCTGTTGTGTTCCTGTTGGCGAGTCTTTTTCTGACACCGAGTCTCTGAAGCTGGAGAAAACAGTTAGATATAACAATTTATATTCCCCAACAATGGTCAACAGTCCCAATTGTTTACTCCATGGCTTCGAAAACATCAATAGTCAAGCACCCAGCTTCACTAACTTTTCCACGTCCCTGATCCATAAAGCAGTATGGATCACACCGTCACAAACTATAGTTCGTCACTGACAGACAAACTGACATCATGTCGGTGTTATAGGTGTCCAAGGTTAGCAAAAGCTGCCTTGACCGTCCTGATCGAGGAGTGACCTTGCATCCAGCAAGTTCACAGGTAAACGAACATCGATTGCATGGTCTGCAAGCACGTCGTTTGGGGTTACAACCACTCAATCCTGTAGCAGCAGTCTGAAACTCGCAGGTGCGAAACACAGCACAGTGTGTATTCAACGTCAGTGCGTAAATTGTTCTGCAGCATCGTAATTCCCGAGGCTTCAGAGTTAGGCAGAAAAGTTGCGGGCAGAAAGTCAATAACAGAGTTGAAAAGGAACCGAACATAGTGAATTCAGGAGGCAAACTGCAGTACACACTGAAGACAGTGGTTAAACACAAGAACAATGGACGTTGTTCGACTGCTATATTACGGCGTGTTTTCATCCTATTTCAAAAAACAGGACTTTCAAGACAAAAAGTTGGTCCAAACATTGTGGTTTGACTTGTTCGTTTAATTACCATAATCAGAACTAATGTAAAATGCAGAAAGTGACAACCTTGAAGTGGGATTTGCTGTAGGGCAAAGCGCTTCAAGTAGATTTTTTGAAGGTTTTTACTGTAGTTTAGCTTGGCTTCACCAAGACCGCCTAGTATCACCAGCAAAGCCTTCAGAGCCCTAACGCAAGCACCGATAGCGAGGGGGTGTATCTGGAATGGGAACGCATGAGTAACGTGTGGGAATGGAAATTCAGAGTATCCGAAGCTGCAGAGAATGTGAAGAAAAGAGGATGCAGTCAGTGAATATCTATTAAAGATTATTCAAATTAACAAAAGGTAGCTTGCATGCCATAACGACCTTGGGCCACCGATGTACAGCGGTCATATACTACTTGACAGGGAAAAAAACAATGTATTGAGGGCAAAGTTATGAATTGTTCGTGTCTGGTACCGACTATCTTTTCAGCCAACAAACTGATGAGAACGCAGTTATTGTGAACGGGGATGGTCACCAACGGAAATTGATTTTACCAGAACTTGCAATGCAGTTGGAAAGCTACATATATTGTGCGAAGTTCTTGTCGACCAGCTTTCACATAACGGCTCGAGATACAGTGTACACAGAATGAGCTTCCCCACCACACCTATTCACCGTTCACCAAAAAATTCAAACAGACAGCCCAGCTACGGCTATTCACTTCGTGGATTCCATGTCCGTTAGACAATCTAGACTAAAGTTGATCGTCTACCCGGCTGCTGCGTCAGAGATGCCAGGCAATGTTTCAGCCTTAATAAGGTCGGGATATAACGGGATTCAGCCAACCAATCCAAAACAAAGCAGACCTCTTAATGTTGATGGATCCTTCCCCATGATAAGACACCGAACTGGTATCGAGAAAGAGATTAAGTCTCTGCACCCTCACTCAGTGTTTTCTTGAAATAGCATTATTTATATCGTAAACCAGAGATCTGCTGTCGAGTGAATCAAATCCCAAAAAACAGAAAACTTCCTGGTTGCGAAATGGTGGGCTTATTTCCCAAAAATGAAACCATGATGGAAGCGTCCCATTCCATTGAAATGAGTTTACTAGTCAACTACCACATTGCGTGGTTGACGTTATGACCACTACAAAACATCCTCGTACTAAATCCACGGATTGTTATTAGCTTGGTCCGTAATTCAACGGTAAGTTGGAATTTCATATTGAGAAAACGGAACAGGGGTGAGGGCGTTGAAGCGTAAGACGAATACGGTTTCCTGACAGCACAACCGCAGTTAATCCCGTATTTCGAAGTGGGGTTCCTGGATTTTCCGGGGACGCATGCTATGTTGCATCGTAACTCCATACAATAATATACGTCGTCCGGCTTGCTGAATAATTTTTTTCTTGAAAGTGCAGTAAAGCGATATTAGAGGCTAGTCCATCCATGTATAATTCAGGAGACATCCAACTCGCCATTTTGACAACAACGTTACAGAAGAGTGTACAAGTGTTTTTCAAGTATCACGAATCTAATCACTGCACCTCACTACCCAAGTTGCGTTAGACTAATAATAACCTTAGTAACAGTAGTACGGTAGGTAGCGACGTGACACAAGTAGGAAAATGCAGATGGTCTGAAATGGAGGCCTGTCAACAACCTGTGCTGAAGTCAATAATATACTCCGTCGTGCTTTTGAGAGTACCACAGAACGCAGAAATTTAGGACTGATCAAACCATGAAATCGACCTGAGCACTGCACAGCAATGGTTAAAAGTAGATTGGTGTGAATAAAAAACAAGATGGTCTCGAATGGACATACTCGTGTTTCGGAGTAAAATCAATGATCCATTGATTCCAGAGCAAACGTTGTCTATTGTAATTGTTGTACGATGAGCGGTTTCTCTTAAGCTTTAATGACTACCACGCTGAAATTCATTGATTCACTTGGTTGCTGTTTTCATATTTACCTTTGAGACTTAGAGAGCTCAATTTTGTATTCCACTTCCCAAAATTCCAAAGCGGCTAAAGTGCCCGTTCTCCTTTTGAGGAAATATACAGTGGCATTGGCAAGACAACCGACCAAACTTCCAATAAATCACTCGCGAATGTTGTTTTCCACTGTCAATCTAGAGTCCACACAACGGTACTTAACATACGATACACAACAGATGTCAGGATTATGAACAATTAGAACACGTAAACGCCGCACATTTTACGGATGAAACGGACGGAAATTCCATCCCGATCATGCTGTGGATGCTCTTGAATCACCGGGTGATATGTACTTTACCAACCAGACAGCATGTGCTCTCCAACAGAAGAGTAAGAAAGCAAAGCAACGCACGTTTGACTTCTGTCAGATGCGGTCACTTCCTTCGACTGTACTCTACAGTTACGATACATTAGACGCCCTTAGCTCGTAACATAAACCAGTGTGGTAGCACTGGTGAGTAAAAAATCGTATGACAAACCAGTGATTCACAGAAAACAGAAACCGGTATATGAAGGGGTCAACGTCCAAAAATACAGGTGGCCACGTCTTGGTTCGGTCTGCAGTTCGACGGTAGCAAGTGTGCAACAGTCCGAACTGACTGCTGGAGTGTCCGCAGGGGAGCCACTTTGAAGTGAAAGTCACGTCGATTGGACGGATGTGTCGAAAGCCAGTCCCGGAGCAAACGAAGGCGTGCCCTGACTGGTCACTGTCAGCGAACCAGGACTAAGCATTTACAGAGCTTCTCACATCATCATGAACATTCTCGCGGGACCCTGCGGGAAATTTCGTGGTAACCCTATAAATAGAGATGCAATAGTTTACTTTCGTTTCTACCATGCTTCCCGATCTACCGTAGTGGGCGGAACAGGAACATAAGGACCGATATAGGGGTTCTAATACTGTGCGCAAGGCAACATAAAGAACACGACAGAGAAGCTTTATTGGTTTCCCAGGACCGTAATTTGGAAGTAAACGAAAATTGCATTCCAGATATCGCCTAAAACCCAGATGAAACATATAAATAATCAACACGTGCGAACAATATTTTGGGACCCTATGTGCGCACCTCCTAAATAGTTAGCGCATACCGTAGCCTTCAGAATGAAAGAAACAGTTTTTTTCTTTGTGAACATGGGGCCTATAGATTTAATTCTCTGCGTGACCGGTAAGCGTGTGGTTGTGGGTCGATATACCGCAAACCTGACTTATTGTTAATGGAACAGCTGCTTTTTTCAAGTTCCCCAAGTAAGCAATACATATTCATGCCGTCCACCTCAAGCTTCAACAAATGCTGCTTTCATTGGTTTGCAGTGACAGTGTTCAGCTGCTACCTGTTCATGTGCTTCCGAAGCACATCCAAAGTGACAAGTATAACAGCTAGAAACTCAAATTCGTTGGAGGCAAACATCAAACAAATACTGTACACACTTTCCAAAACAGCGGTATTACCTGCTTGTTGCGGATAGGTGTCGTCTATCATGTGTGGAGCAGAGCTCGAGTGACGGAGAGAAAGTCCAACATTGAGAACTTCACTAGTAGCCGAAGTTAACGTTGATATGGAAGGGTCGACTGACTGACTCGGAGTACTTTGTTGTGGGGTAGGGCTCGAGGAACAAAAGACAAAACTGTTTTGCACAGGGATGAACGGGGATGAAGTGGTAGGACCGCTATCGGTGGAAGTAAAAGTTGGCATGTGCTGACCAGCTGTGGACATCCGCCAAATGGGAGCTGTCATAGTCAGTGGCTTTGGCTGGAGCAGTGGAAACTGGTGTGTTGTTGGGGGTTGTGGTCGTACTACAGAAGACTGGGGGTCGAAAGGAATGAAGTTTGAATACTTGACTGGTCTTAAATCTTTGTTCAAAAAGTAACTGGCCAATATTTGGTCACGGTAGGGTTCCAGTTGGCGAATCAATGTGGACTTGGAACCCGAAGCCGTTAGTTTGCGTTCGCGGCATTCGGATCGCAACTGCAACACATTCAGTTGCTCCAACGTGTGTGCTTGACCTAGTCCTGACGCCAAATTAAGAAACTGGCTCCCTGCAGGAGACAGGGTTGTCGGGCTTTGAACATTTGTGTCTGGGGTGATAAAATTTTGAACAAAGCCGGAATGTGTGTTTTCGGTTGTTGATACGGCACCAAGAAACATAGGAGAATTCAAAGGTGATACGGTAATTACTGAAGGTGACTGGGATGAACAAGATATGTTCCCGAAGCCTCCTGTGTTCGGTTCTACGGAAGAACTAGACTGGTTGACTGACGGGGCACGTCGCAAGGCAGCACGTTGGCTCAATTCCTGTCCTACTAGCCGGTGAACCCTAGCCGTGTCCTGTAGTCGCAACATTTCAACTTGTTGTGCTTCACGAGCCTGCTGCTTTTGTTGGAATGATGTGGAAGTCACAACGTTGGGCGAGAGAGACTGTACAGATCTGGGACAATAGTTGTGAAACACAAGAGAACCCAGTTTGTAAACTACCGTCTCGTCTTTGATAGAACGACTCGTGGACGAAGGGCCCACAGAGGAACGGCTTGTGAATTTGTTGCGCGTCGGTACCGTTGACTTTGAAGTGTGAGCTGGAGGTGCTGGTTTGATGCAAAGTAAGGGCGGCGGGGCGGGAATCACGACTGCGTCCGCACTCACTTTTTCACCGCTGCCGACACTCTGAACACGAGGATACGGGATTGACCCACACCGGATGAGCGAATCAACACCTGGATCAACCTTTTTTGGCAAAGAACAGTGATAGTTCGAGAATCAAGCATAAGCATTTCTTACGAAGGTAATGAATAAATAAATTATTGGGATGAACAGCCTTCAGAATTGCCCAGGGTGTATAATTTTCATCAGGAACACGCACTTTAAAACTGAGCCTGATGAAGGTTTGTATCCAAAGAACAAAGCTGTCCGGTAAAAAAAATCTACTGATTACTTGCCAAGATTTTCTGGAGATGTCAACTATTCATAATTAGCAACAAGCCAGTCAGATTGTGAACTATACCTGCGGAAAATTTTAAAACACCACAACCTCGAATTTTGTAAATCCCCGTGGTGTTTTGGCATTGCGACGGAAAAACGGTGTATTAGACTGTGTTCGGTCATGACCGAACAGTTACATTACAGCGCTTCCCCAAAAAGGGTTCTTTCTTTCTTTCTTTCTTTCTTTCTTTCTCTCTCTCTCTCTCTCTCTCTCTCTCTCGAGAAGTGCCGAGATCGCGCTCATCTTGGAAACCCTCGAGTATGTAATGTACACGTTTTGAGCAGTGCTCTTGCGACATATTTTGCATGCAATCATAACAGAAACTGAGCAATGGGAAGCAAAATGAATCATGGAACTGTTCTACCAAGTTAACGGTAAAAACTGCATATTACTAAGCGGATAACTACCAACCAAAAAGTGCAACCTTAAGTAAATACGGCGATGCTCGCACACGTCCCTTATTAAGGAATCAGAAAACAAACAAGTGAAATTAACGCAGTAAGCTCAAGATTTTGCTTGGTTGGCTGTAAAATCCGCAAAGGAATCTAGTTACTACCGTTGGGCACAGAGCCGCATCAAAGGGGATTATGGAGCAAACTGGAATCTACCCATAATTCGAAGTTCTTACGTCAAGGCGATTTCAAAGATAATTTTTTCACCAGGGTTTTAATTAGAACAGGCTATAAGACTGAATAAAATCATCCACTGCAAAAAAATTTTGGGACGATGTCCCAGGTTTTGTAGTACAATCGCGTTAAATGTTTTTGTCTTGATCTTCCTCGATGCCATTCTGTGCATGTTTCGGTTAGTTTCATTCAATGTTTAACAGCATGAGCCATATACCAGGGTTACGTTACAATTCCGGTCGTCGGAAAATGGGAGAGCGGAGAATATATGGCCAACCATTGGAGACGATAACATTCGGCTAGTTCGCATTGAATCCGCCCAGTTATTTGGAGGCTACAACCGGAGCATATACAATGCCTAGACAAAGTGACGTCGAACCGAAGATATAGGCACCGAATGCCAAATCTGCCATGGACTTCCTGATTCCAAGTGTAATCCCAAGATGTTAACGCTCCAGCTGGTCCACCAGAACGTATAAAGATGAATTCGTCTACCAAGTCGATTGATTGGTTTGAAAGCATTAGGAGTCTAATTCCGCCCTGTTTTGTAGCAGCGCTTTGAACTTGGCAGGTGTGAAGTGCAGCCAAACGCTGCGGCGATCATTTTGGATGATTTGTACACCTAATGAATATGAACCAAGAAAAGCAATATAATCTGCTTACTCTATGTCTGTGAGAGAATACCACGCGATCATTTTGATCATCGAGGTTTCATGCCTGGGAGAAAAGCTTCGAGTAACTCATCGATATAAAAGCTGAACAGGAATCGTGAGAGAGTTCGGTGTTGTTTTACCCCAGTGAACGTTGTGAAATCAAGCGACAGTTAATCCACTGGAATCCGCGTACAACACCCTTAAAGGGATAAAAAAATTCTGAAATAATACCTTCAATTGCCAGGCACCATGATGGCTTTTGACGATTGCAAGAGTCAAAAGCGCCCTAATATGAAGAACGATCAAGGTCCGAGAGCCTGTTTCAAGGTGAGAATATGGTCGGTCCATTCTAGGCCAGGTTGATATCCAGATTTGTTTCTCTCGGTAACCGACCAAGTTGTGTACGTACAAGTGTCCCAAAGTGTCGCTTCCATTAACTGGAAAATTGCTGCCAACATTAATTGGATTACGGATCGAATCAATCACATTGATGACGTCACATACATCCACATCAACGGTCTCTGAGTGAGTACCCATCAGTGTTGTCGTAGCTGAGCAACGAAAGCCTGCATCTTCAGTAAGGATGAGAAGACAGTTTTAAATTTAAGTGATCACATTGCACGCTCATTAGAGTCAAGCCACCTTGAACACATTTCGTGATGCAAATGAGTTTAGGATCTAGCCACTTCGCGCTCCTTTTGGACGAAAACTCATTGCCATAAATCTCCCTTGTGGGGGTAGTTCGGTAGTTTAAAAAAATCTACACAGATGGTATTCAAGTTCATAAAATACTCGTTCAACAGTACCACTCGATCGCTTAGGAACCCCATTGTTAGAACTCAGAGTGTAGTTACATAATTTAAGGATTGAAGCTGCTGTTGCATCTCATTTATGGATCCGAGTACTGTTCACTCATTTCATTTAATAGAATATGCAGCGGTAAGACGAATGATGGACAATCAGATAGCATTCCGTCCTGAAAAGGTTCGGTCGATGCCGACGTAAACGATGCGTATCTTACCGACACTTTCAGTTGGTCATGAAGAACTGTCGTCTGTCATAATACCCGAGAGACCTTAAGGCCTACTGAAATGTGCAGGTATTGAACCCAGAGCGATTGTGGCTAATGGCAATATCTGGTGGTCGAGTCGTTGCAACAAAATTGGCAAGAAAACAATTTGACCACCAACTGAACAACCTGAGGTACCAACATTGCCCTCCACATCAATAGCGACGTCTTCCAAAGAGTTAGGCTAAACAAACTACGTCTAGATAAAAGCATCGGGGAGAGGGGATGGTTGTGCGCAGGGAGGCAACTACCTATCTCCATCACAGCGACAACTGAAGGTCATTCGATATCGGACTCATAATGTCTCGTTTAGTGTTCCGCAAGCATGAAAAATGCACCATACATCCCGGTTCACAAGAGTGCACTTACGTGCTCCGATAAATAAATAAATCCTTGTGTTTCTTTGTTATCAGGTATTGAGGAAATAAATAAATCATCATCATCATTATCGATAACATGACATCAGTGCTCAACACGGAGCAAGCTACCAGTTGAAATACACAATATAGATAATATAGTCCGAAACCGTCCAGGAAAGCCCGACACCACAAATTCCAGCACTCTGTTATAGCGGTGGATTATTTCGACCGAATAAACAATGGACATTCTAGCGATGGCCAGCACGAGCCCCGCTGAACAAATTGGAAAGAGCAGAAGTATGGATATAATAGTAAGCTGAGAAGGTCTATCGACATAGTGGCTAGAAACAGTAGATCACTTGTGTTTGAATAACAAGTCCCTAAACTCGTATCACAAGCATTCCAACACCTGACTGACCGGTATTAACGGAAAAAATATGCATATGAGTCAATTTACGCAAATGAGATCAGTGTGTGTCAGTAGGGTGATCACGTAAATATAAGAAACAGAAGCTGAGCAGGCCAACGTACACATCTAGGGCACATCATAGCAATGCAAGCCACGTGACAAAAGGTTAAAAACAAGAGCGTGGCTTGATGTGTGCTTCTAAACCCATGGTGGGGTGAATTAATGATCCAACACGATTAGCACCCAA